TTTTCTCTTCAAAAATATATCTAGTGGACATCTAATTGTCAAACTCCTTGATGTTTACCAGTTCAATATGTATTTCTGCATGATTAGTTTTGTGTGCCTGCTTGCACAACAAATTTGACGCTCGATAATGTGTAAAAATTGTGACCATATAAATTCAAGTCAATGACCAAACTAGTTGTCACATCATGAGCAGGGATGGACCCAGGAAGGAAGTTCAGTGGGAGCGAAACCAAAAAATCTTGAAAAAAATCTAAAAAAACTTGAACAGAAAAAACTAAAAAAATCTGAAAATCGAGTGGGGGTGACGGCCCCCACTGGGCCTCATGTAAGTCCGCCATTGATCATGAGATATCGATAAAGATGTCGATCGAGACCAAGATGCATATGCAACAGGATTGTTTATTTTAGTGCTCTAACAAAATTTGGTTAGCGCCTTATATGATAGTTTGCAGCCCCTGTTTGGTGCACATTTTTTGAAAAAGAATGCATTTTTACTGTTGATGTGATGAGAAATATGTGATTGAAAAAGAAGGTAAAATTATTGATGTGAAGGAAAATATTATTTTATTGAAAAATGTGTGGTTAAAAATGAGTAGAAGAATGAAAATGAAAAAAATAATGTGGCTCAAACAGGGCATGAATTATATTTTATGTATAAATTTAGAAGGTGTCCTCAAATGAGATTTTGGTAAATTCTGAAATATTATAAATTCTAATGAATTTCGTGAATTTGAATAAATTTTCACAAAATTTATAAAAAAATCATTGAAAATGGTAAAATTTTGAAACGGTTTGGTTATATGTGTTTTTAAGTTTTGAAATCTATCCAAATATTTTAAAATCTCTTCATTAATGAAATCCTTATAAATTCACACAAGTTATTGAGAACATCTAGATTTTAAAAGATCTCATTAAAATTCTTTAACATTTAAGCTTGGACACCTAAATTTTAATGAATTTTAATAAAAATTCATTAAAATGACACCTGAATTTAGAAGAATTTTTAAAATACATCAAAATCCCAGTTGACGACACACCTATTTATATAAATATATTAAATTTCTTAATCTAAAAATACGAGTTTCAAAAGGAGAACAAATTTATGTATAATAATTTTTTATCTTTAATGACACCCTCAGATTTATGTCAAATTCAAATTTGTAAAATTTGTACAAAGAGATTTAATTGAACTCAAGACTTCTGTCTATTGTAGTGTCGTATAGAATCGCCCCGCACACAAGAAACTCAATAGCGCATGCCACACCCATTGAAATGTATGTTGTAATGCTGAAGGATCAAGATTTGCTCTCGTAAATATATGGTGGCATAATTTAAACTCAACATTTATCTACTCTCATATTATATGAAGCATCTATTTGATGTTGTTTAAAAAATTGATAAAAATTTAAATCAAAGTCAACTATTAATTTAACCACATATTTTATGCGATCCAGAACTTTTTAATCACATAATTAATAATTTTTTTTCAAAATTTACTAAAAATCTGATTTTTAATTACACCAAACATGAGTTAAATGTCTTGCTTATAGCATGTTGGGGAAGTGTTTTTATTTTTATTAATAGATAGAATTAAATGGTGGATATGTGGATAATATAATTGCAAATTTCACAAAATGCGTGGGTTGAGCCAAACACAGGCTTATCATTATGCAAACTTTCACATAACTAACATTAATATCTTATTCTCGTTTACTTTTCAACTTTGCAGTTGAACACAACTTGCCCTAAATGAGAACTTCCAAAGAGTAGACCTCATCCCCACCAAAATGACAACATTCCTCCATGGACCATTTATAAATAGAGTACTTCCACAATTTCTTCATAATCCATGATAAACCCCCTTCTTTTTGCTCTTCTTTTCCCATCCCACCCCCTTTAACTCGACATCCTCGTCACCTGCAAGAGTAGACCAAAAACTCCGGTCAACATGGTTTCCATAAAAGCTTCAATGGCCATAGCCGATACAGAATCATGGTGTTGCGCCATAGCTCTGATAGCCCTTATTCTAATGAGTTCCATAAAAGATGGCTCTGCAAATGATCCTGTACGAGGAAGGCAACTTCAAGACAGACCCTGCGACGAAATATATGTCGTCCAAGAAGGAGAAACCCTTCATACCATCAGTGATAAATGTGGTGACCCGTATATAGTCGAGAGCAACCCCCATATTCATGACCCTGATGATGTTTTTCCTGGACTTGTCATAAAGATTACACCTACAAATCCCAGGTTGAAGCTGCAGCCGAGGAATTAGTGGAACGCCTTAGCCGTTTGTTCTGAGGTGAACAAATTGGACTCAAAAAAATTATTACAGGTTGATGGACCTTTGTTACAATCTTCTCTTGTGGATGTAAAAAGTCTGGGGTAACAGAAATATTTCTTGCTCTTGATATCTGATTCCAGAATTTCCTTTTTCTTTTTCGATATTTATTCTTCATAAGGAGCCATAGGTTTGATCGATTTCACTGTTGGATATAGCTTTCTAATTTTGGAATCTGATCGTTACTCATCATTATGTGATATACTCAGAGCCGGTTCTGGGCCGAGGCA